GGGGGGATGGCCATGCCGCAATCCCTTTTTCTCCATTCTCCTCTCAGGATCTTGGAAATGCATGCACACATGCCTAGCGTGAGTTTTAAGGCACTGGGTCCGGGACTTGAACCATGGTCAACTACATGGGAGTCCAGTGGCATAGCCATTACGCTAACTGCTGGTCCCTGACTATCCTTTTCTTAAGATTTCATACATGATTTGTAGTTAAGAATATGAAAAAGTGTCTTTATAAAAGTGTGCTTCGTCACCCCCCTTTTAATTTTTTTTTTTTGGAGAGGTTTTTGCTATAGGGCGCATGTGCCCGCCAGACAGACAGAGAGAGAGACAGAGACAGAAAGCGAGAAATCACCCCCCAGAGGGGATGGTCACGCCGCAATCCCTTCTCCTCCATTCTCCTCTTGGGATCTTGGGCACGCACGCACACGCGCCTGGCGTGAGTTTTAAGCCACCGGGTCCAGGACACGAACCGCGGTCGACTATGTGGGAGTCCAGCGACACAGTCATTACGCTAACTGCTGGTTCCCTAATTTTTTTGTTTTTTTAAGAGAGATTTTTGCCACAGGGTGCATGCATACACTCACTAGAAAGAGAAAGACAGAGACAGAAAGCAAGTTATCACCCTGGGTGGGGGGGAGCAGGGGATGGCCATGCCACAATCCCTTCTTCTCCATTCTCCTCAGAATTTTAGGCAAGCACGCACACACCCCCAGCATGAGTTTGAAGCTGCCAGGTCTGGGACTCGAACTGCATTCAACTACGTAGGAGTCCAGCAAGCTAACCATTATACTATCTGATGGTTGGTTCTACCATCCTCACCTTTTATAAAAGACTACCATAGTGTGGTTATTTAATGTATACTGAGGAAAAAAAACATCAGGATGCTACTTAATTGCTTTTGACTATAAAAGGGTACATTTTAAGAACTAATCTTTTATTTTTTTAAAAGTTCGTTTATTTTTCTCCTCTGAGCTAAAAAGACTTAGAAATAGAAAACCTCCAGCTGGGTCCTGACACTACAATTCACCCCCAGGATTCAGTCAGCCAAGGATCATGGGCAGGCACATGTCGAGTGTATTCGGGTAGGTTTCTGGACTCCAACTGTAAAGCTTCCCATGTGGGACTGTCTTGCAGAACATCACATTTTACTACTGTAAACAACTCCAGCTGTTTACCTTAAATGATGAAAATTTATTCACTTAAATAGGCTTGGACAGTCTGTACCCTCAAACCAAAACTCCAAATAGGATTTTCTTTCTCTAAGAGGTTCAAGACTGAGACAGAAACTGTAAAATTAACTCAGGAATCAGAATTTAGCAGTATCCACATTTTGGCCTTCCTTAGAAAAGCTGTAGAAAATTTAACAGGTTAAATTGCGATGAAGTCTCTGTCACAGTTTAGGTAGTAAAATATTTGCAATGAGTTAGTGGTTCAATAATTGCCAATTTGCCTTCTTTCCATCAACCTCCCACCCTCTTTTTGCTAGCTCTCTCTCCCTGCAAAATGAAGACTTTGCCATTGAAAAAACTTGCATGAATAAAGTGGTCTGAATCCCAGTGAGTTGTGTGGTGAATAAAATAACAATATACTTTTTCCATGAGAAACCAGTAGGCGGAGCTAACTCTAGAAGACTACCTTCAAGGATTTTCAACCAAAAATTCATAGGACAGATGGCTAGTTTAGAGTGTTACAGAATTCTCAGAATGATTCACAGAGGAGGGGATTTTTTAAGTTTGAATACAATAGGAATCTACTGAAAGTCTAGAATATAATGAAAAAATGAATATTAATGAAAACATAATATCCTTAAAGGTTCTTAACATGATCTACATAGAATTTGAGCAAAATTACCTTTTTGTTCCCACATTAAAATCTTATGAGTGTCTTCTTTGGCCTCATTTAGATTTCAATCTTATTTGGAAACATCCTAGCACACAGCCAGCGTTTTGCCTAGTTTTAAGGCGCACATTTCCCCCACCCGAGAGCAGCAACTGGTTCTCTTAATGAAAATTCACTCAAGTTCTTGCTTTCTCACTGGTTCAGTCTCTCTCTTAGAGAAACTAAGTAGCTTACAATGCATACAACCTACCAGACACACTGACACATAGCTTGTGTTTTAAAATCAATGAGCATATCTACTTAAATACATTAACATGAGTGAAATGATAAAAAAAAACTTACAAATAACTTTTTAAATGGTTTATATTAGTCATGTAAGCAATATGAAAGACCGTATTTTAGCCATGGAGTCACTATACCATAGAATTCCAAATTTAAGAATAAGTGACATACCGTTGGCTTCAAATCTCAGAACTATTCATTTCAAGATATCAAGTCTGCTGTCCATAGACAGCAGCACAAAATTATCTTCCTTATAAAAATGTAACTGGACTTTTTCACAGAGAAGAGCATCCCTGAGTACAAAAATAATTCACATGCAGTGCAACTTCCAAAGACCTCTGAGATGCCTAAGTGCACTATAAATTTAAAAATACGGTCTTCCTGATATTACAATATTTTTAAATCTTCCAAAGATAAATGACCCTTTGTTCTCCTACTCTTTCACTAGTTTAAAAAGAAGGCATACAAGTTTTCATTCCATTGACTGAGGTTATAGAGGAACATTTGTCTTAAAAGCCACAGTATGTGTTATTAACCTCTTTGATATACAGCCTTCTGTCTGCTGGAGTTAGTTTTTATTTCTGTAGATAACCTAGAAGAAAACTTAATCTGAGAAGTTAAAAAGTTATTTCATTTGTTGCAGGTTTCTTTTAACAATATGAAATACAGACACACGATCATTTCACGGCTGAACTTCTTATTTAAGACAAGGAAAGTAAAATAGAGCATTGAAATCAAGGAATTTAATATTAGTTATCGTCCAGATTTTAACATTTAGAGTGACTTTATGAAATTTATTCAAACAGCAAATTTTCAGGCAGATTCTGTCTCTGCGTTAAATACAGACAAGGCTTTTTACTACCAACTGCTACATCTCTGAAAAGAAGTTTGGATTATACTGAAAACAATTAACAGAGCAATCATAAAATATCACAGAATAGACTCAACACTGAGTACTTCAATTCTACCAACACACAGGAATCCATCACCACTCTCACCAAGCCCTCACCCCAGTCCTTCCCCCAGACTCAGAACCAGTGCCAAGTGTTAAAAAAAGGGAAAACACTGTCCCCTTAAAATTGAAATAAAAGACTATTTTGCACCTTGGGAACATAGTCTCACTAATGCAAACTAACAGTTTCCAGTTTCCTCAACCTTAAACCAAAGTGACCACCATCTAAGTAACTATTTCCCCATCCACTGGAAGATGCAAGGAAGCACTTAAAACCAACGCAAATCAACAAGGAAAGAAAAGATCCAAAGCCAGCACCACTGAGAAAGCAAAACCCATAGGAAAAAGCAGAACAGGCTGGGAAAAGACCTACTGCGTTGTTTACTCGTCGCGAAGGGGAGGAGCAGGAGTTGAGCTTGCAGGGGCTGGTGCCATCCTCAAGGCTCTGGAATGTCTGGAGCTCCGGCCCGCGTGGCCACGAGCCAGCCTGGCGGAAGACGCGGGCCCTGCCGCCTCTCCCCTCCTCTCCCCCCTCCCTCC